CTACCTACCTACCTACCTACCTACCTACCTACCTACCTATCCTATCATCATCTATCAGTACAGAATACACATATATGCAGTTCCAAATGCTGGAATGATGGAACAGGTAGGAAATGCAACTAAAACACCTACATCAAGGTCTTAAAAATGCTTAAAGAGGGGTCTGAAACTGTATGGGCAGCATCTGCTAAACTTTTGTGAAGGCAAAGTGAACAGGATACCAAAATTAGACAAAGAATTCTAGGCCCTTGTACCTCACATGAAAAAAAAATATAATGCAAAATAAAATATATTTTTATCCTGCATCTTCTTCCAAGCAATGAATTTTCTAATACAGCTAGCAGAAGTGCGTACAAATGAAACAGAAGTTTGTGTTCTTTTATTTCACAGGTGATAGTTTAACATAATATATCCTGATTTTGTGTTTGTGTTCTTTTATTTCACAGGTGATAGTTTAACATAATATATCCTGATTTTCCCAGAAATTAAAGTAATTTTAAGTGTTACTTGGTTGGGATTGTGGTTGCTCATATTAGATTCTCAAAGGGTCGAGTCAAGATCACCAGTCTTTTCAGCATACAGTAAGTCAGAGAGATCTGTTCTGAAAGGTTGAAGAATATTTGGGACAAGATGGAAGAGGCTACAGGGGCTAGAGGTGAAATAATTAAAAACAACTTTTGCCTTCCCTCTTTCAAGGGCCTCTCCTGAGTCTCAGCCTTTTCTGTGAATGGGAACAGACTAAGCTTTCACTGAGAAAAGGTCAAGCCTAAATTTAGCCCACAGAAAAACCCATGATAGAAGAACCCCTTTATGTCAGAATTGCATTTTGCCTCTTTATAGAACTGGTTACCTCGCATACTGCAGAGATACAGGCCAGGTGTTCAGCAACTGCAGCAAAAGCAGCTTCAAGAGAAACATCAGCCTCTCCCTGTTGTCAAAAACAAAATGTTACAATAAAATATACATACAGACACATGATGTAAAGAAAAAAACAACATATTATGATGCAGAAACAGCCTTCCAAAATATGAGGCCAACTACATATGGCTTGATACTCTAGCACTGTGATGCCAAACCTATGGCACGCATGCCACAAGTAGCACGCGGAACCATTTGTTAGGGCACACAAGATGTTGCCCTGTCTTCGGCCTTCATTTTTGGCCCTCCGGAGGCTTCCCTGAAACCTCAGGAGGGCAAAACACAACCCACTAGGCAAACCTGAAGTTTGGGAATGGACTTCTGGTTTGCACATTAGGGCGTTTTTCGTCATCCAGAGGCTTCCAAGGGCAAAAAACGTCCCTATAGGCAAACCGGAAGTCTGTTCCCAAACTTCTGGATTGCCCGTAGGCCGTTTTTCGCTCTCCGGAGCTTTCAGGATGCTTAGTCAATTGCATAGTAAGAAATAGTATTCATTTCTATTCGTTGAAATATTTTAGCTGCTTCTCATGACACCTTTTAAACCAAAACAAACTACTAACAATCCTTGCTATGAGACATACCATTTTCTTTCTTTATATAAGAAAAGGTCCAATTTGGTCTAGTGTTTTGGTCTAGTGTTTGCACCAGACTAGAAATCAGGAGACTGTGAGTTCTAATCCTACTTTAGGTCCAAACCAGCTGAGTGACTTTGAGTCAGTCATTCCCTCTGAGCCCAATCCATCTGAGAGGATTGCTATTGTGGGGAAAAGAGGAGGGTGGAGTATTAGCGATGTTTGCTGCTTTGAGTTATTTATAAAAATCATAAAGGTATCTATCTATCCATCTATCTATCTATGGTTGTATTTGTACTGTATGTAACAAAAAGCAACAGTAAAAATATTGGGCTTTCTGTCTGGATGGTCTCTTGTGACGAGCCGATGGACAGAGAATGGAAGCAGTTAGCTTCCTCCCATAATTGGGGCATACCAGGGGTTGTGACACTCAATATCTATCTATCTATCTATCTATCTATCTATCTATCTATCTATCTATCTATCTATCTATCTATCTATCTATATTCAGTATCTATCTATATCT